TTTCTGAATAGCTCAAAAATGGCTCTAAAGTTGTACATTTATGTGTTGATAATAAACAAAAGAAGAAGAAGAGGAGGAAGAAGGGGAGGAGGACGAGGAGGAAGAGGTGGCCACAAACCACAAAGCAGACTCTTAATGATAGAGAACAAACTGAGGGTTGATGGAGGGAGGTGGGTGGGGGATGGGCATTAAGAAGGGCACTTGTGATGAGCATTGGCGGTTGTATGTAAGTGATGAATCACCGGTTTCTACTTCTGAAACCAATATTACCTTATAGGTTAACTAACTTAGAATTCAAATGAAAACTTGAGAAAAAAAATAAAAAGAACACCATTAAAAAACTAAGTTTAGAATTCATGAAAAAGGCTTATGATCATTGTATTAAAAAAATAAAACAATGGCAGGAAATACAGTGACATTATTCTCTTAACGATGAAGCGTTGATTCTAAATGGTTTAGCCTTTTAAAAAATAGATATTTAGAAAGTTTCATGAACTACTATTTCACTTATACTGACTGATAAAGTTTGGAATCTAGCACAACAATCATTTTAGTATTCAGGTAATTATCTAAACAACGTTTCACCAACCTGGACCACTTGGACATGAATTCAAATGTGAGGGAATTTATTTCATAACCTGGAAGAAAAAAAAACCTAAAAAATTTAATTAGCCTAACACGAATGCTTACTTTCTTCTTTTTGTCAGGAACTTGAAAACAGTAAGCATAGTATGAATAAAACTTTGTGAGCCTCGAACCTCATTTCTTCCAGCCAGAGAAACCTCTTCAGGGAACTTTTTATACCAAAAACATGGATTTCCTTATTTAAAATATACTTTTAATTTCAAATTTTCCTTTTGAAAGAGAGCCTTTCGTCTTTGTTTTTTATATACACATGGGAGCACATAAAACCAACATACGCAGAATTTTCTGCCTAGTAGTTTATCTGTTCAGTAGGCCTAAGGTGTGGAGAAATAGTAAGAGCCCTGTGAGATGCCATCTATTTGAGGCAGAGAGGAAGATGAGGCAAAGGACGGATTATGAGATGGAGCCTTGAATGAGAACAGCACACGAGGAAGCCCAGCGCACTTCCTAAGAAGAGAGAGCACAGTTTGCTCCGGAGTTTTTCCAGCAGTCTGCACAAAGACGGAAATGTGATCAGGTACATGAGTCATAGTTCATAAAATAACGGCAGAACAACCGCTCTGGCAAGGAGCTGTGTTCCGTTTCTGAAATTGCTCACTTCAGTTGAATATTCTCACCTAAAGTTGGGCAAGAGCCTGGACTAAGTGAGTTTTTGGAAGGAACCAGAAAAGTTATCTTTCCTCTACGAAGCACGGTCCGTTAGACTCTGTGAGTAAGTAGAAATCCAGAGAGCTTGATATTTATCGGCCCTATCTGATGCCAGTTTTAAAATTATTTTTCATATCTGATAAAAACTACCTCTTCAGTGACACGAGGGGAGAATTTCAAACCTCTTACTAAACGATAGGTAGAGGGAAGAGAGGAATTAAAACATATTTTAAAAAATATTTACAGAGAGCTAAAAAGGAAGCAATTCAGACCATGCCTTACCTGAAATAGTGGTAAATAATTTAATATTCCTAAATTCTTAACCAGTTTGAGGTTGGGAAGGAGGCAATCTCTAAGAATACCTCTACTTTTGACTTTAGCATAACTTGTGTGGTAGAGCCACGAGTTTATGCCGAGGATCCCTCCTCTGTCTTCAGGAATCAGTCTGTCTCTAGGGCAGTCATGTCTCTTTTCTTGCAAGATGAGAGGAAATCAAAATTAGCGGTTTTGAGAGGGACGGTAGGAGCTATTGGCCACCGGATCACACTCTTGCTAATCACAGCAGCATACTTGGGCTTTCACCTGCAAAACGCCTTTGGTAAAATACATTTTCATGGACTAATGGCAGATGGTATATTTCACCACCAGATGGCAGCAGTGCACTCTGGATAAATGGTGCGGCCAAGGACGCTTTTTCTTTGTTTTCTACCCACTAAAGTCTCCGCTAGGTGACAGCAACATGAATAAAGTTGGAATAGCCATTAATGGGTTATGTAAAAAACAATTTCATGTCTTCTTTTAGATCTGAGAGCAGCACTTTAAAACAGGATCCACAGTTGGAATGTTTTTCTCTAGAAAATTACCAGACTATGTGCTTTTAGGCCTCCCACACACTAACCTAATATCCAAAAAACAAAACAAAACACAACAGCGCAACAGAATAAAACTTTTGTGGGGAGCATCTTCTAAAGAGCCTGGGAAAGATCACTGTTTGAAACCATTATCACTGAGGAATTTGGGGAGCCCAGACTTCCTCACCCAATTTAGAAAAAAAAGTGGTGACTAAAACAGTCATTTTTTGAACATAATAGTAATTACTATTTATTGACCACCTATTATGTACCAAGGATTGTACTGAAATGCTTTAAAGATACGTTCACTGAATCTGGATCAGAGGTCGTTTTAAAAAGCCCAGGTTTGAACTTAAGCCTGTTTAGGGCCATCACCTCTGTATTTTCCATGACCTCATGCTTTTTCTGCTAGAGCCATTTTCAAAACCCATACTGAAGGAGAAACTGGAACAGCTTTCACGGTATGATTTTGAGGGCACACAGGAATATACTGACTCGTCCTTTGACTTTCCCTTTCATGAAGGTGCATCGCATTAATCCAATGAGGGATAACATATTTTGATTCTATAGTTACACTGAAGGCTAAACGTGAAGATTGGTTTGGGAGCAACGCAAAGTAATAAACACATCATGTTGGAATCTAAATGACTGCTAGCTAGCATCATGGACGAGAAGCAGAGGAGGGCTGGAGACAGCAGGGGGACGGATGCCAGGCTCCTGACTGGGCAGAAGAGAAAGGTAATGAGATGGGGGCAGGAGCCAAGAAGTTGAGGCAGGCAGGTTGACACAGCTGTCCTGTGGTTATCCCTGCTGAGTGCCCTTAGAGAGCCTTACCTGTAAGTGACCCTGGACAGCTGGTTGTAACCTGGTGCAGCACAAATGCTTTCTACGTGTAGCAGAGACCTGAACATGGTTTGAATCCCTTAGAGGCGAACTTTGGGCAGACTTCGCAAACTGGGTTAATAGCAAGAGGTTGTCTGCCAGGCATCCACAGTGAGCGGGCCTGCCCTTGGAAGTCCCCGGGACCTTTGTTCTCCTTAATTCAGTTCTAAATTGGATGACAACGTATTATAAAGGAGGAGAGGAATAAGAAGTACTACAAATATGGCTCAGACTACCGTTGTGCACGGTGATTCTATTGTACGGTAAAGCTGCACTTCAATAATTTTTATTTCAGGTAACTCTAAGAGAAATACAGTAGAACGGTGTGCTAGTCCCAAAGGGCAAAAGCTGATGGATGGGAAGAGGAAAAGGTCCCTTTTCTGTTTTATGCACTAAACAGTGTGGGGGTGGGAGTGGGGGTAGTCCTGAAAGAAGAGAAAGGAGTGGGCGCGTGATGTAGGGTCCAGTGTTCTAGGAAAAAGATAAGGGAGGTGACTTGATTCTCTGTCTGTGGCCAGAATCATGTCCCTGGTTATCTGTAGGCAATGTCAGGTACCTCAGGGTACCGATAAACTAGCACATACTAGTTGCAACAATTGTCCTTAACTATGCAACTACTTACTAGGACCCAAGTATTGTTCTTATCTGGCTCCTGTTCAGTCCTTAGGCAAGCCCCACGGGGGAGCTGATTCTTATCCTTTCTCAGAGACAGTAACTTGCCCAGGGTCCCACAGTTAGCAGAAGACAGGATTCAGATCCCATTGTCTTGGCTGTATTTCCTCTGCTTTCCGAGGGCCTTCCTCTGAGGCCATGGCCGGTGATACATACTCACTGAGAGCCACCAGGGGTCACACTAGCCACTGCGGATCAATTAGTAAGCAAGATTGGCTGGAGAGGTAATTAATTTGGGGGTGCCTGGGTGGCTCAGCGGGCTAAGCATCCAACTTCGGCTCAGGTCATGATCTCACAGCTGGTGGGTTCAAACCCGGCATTGGGCTCAGTGCCGTCAACTCAGAGCCTGGAACCTGCTTCGGATTCTGGGTCTCCCTCGCTCTCTGCCCCTCCCCCACTTGTACTCCGTCTCTTAAAAGTAAGTAGACGTTAAAAAAAACTAAAGAAATGTAATTAATTCTATAACTATGGCCTGTTCAAGTTTAGGTGTACTGACAGTGCGACATCAAACTGAGGCATTAAAAAGGAATCCTGGGAAAATAAGAACACGTTTGAGTCAAGCCCCTCCACCACCCCTTTTTTTCTGGCTTAAATAGGAACAAAACGAGATAAAGCAGCTTGAATCCAACCCAATAGATAGCACAACCACAAGTTTTTAACCTGTATATCTGGCAGCCAAAAAATGATTTGCTCAACTTCCTTCTTCCCTTCCTTCCTTCCTCTGAGAGAGAGAGGGGCGCACGTGAGTGAGGGACAGAGAGAGAGAGAGAGAGAGAGAAAGACTCCCAGGAGAGGCAGAGAGAGAGGGAGAAATGGGGCTCCCGGGGCGAGCTACTCACCCAACCAGGGGGACTCAAGCTCAGGAACTGCTGGGTCATGACCTGAGCGGAAGTCAGGCACTAAACGGGCTGAGCCACCCAGGTGCCCCTGATTTGCTCAGCTGTCTTAGGGAGGAAGGGAGGGTGGGGGTGGCAAGGAGGTAAGACGAAGCTGCTGACAGTTATTGGTGTGGTTTCGTTCTCTATTCTGAGTGTTAAGTTTTGGTTGTATACGGTGACTTTTCTGTGATCCCCAGAAGTCCTGCCTCCCAAAGGAAAAAAGCCATTCTGGAATTCTTACAAATTTCATAGAACAAAGGAGAGAAAGCCAGCTTATCTCCAGCAACATTTGTGTTCTACGAGACAATTACATTGAGCTGTACATTCAAGCATACATTCGTACTACTTGAACCTGTTTTTCTGCGAATGTTTATTTAGAAAGATTCTTAAGAACTTTCAAGTGTCTGTGTCTGCGGCAGTTTCTTTAGGCGAACAACATGCAAACGGTCACTATGAAAACCAAGATGCACGCAACAAGGAGCAAAATCAGACCTATACGACAATATTTCGAATGCTTTTCTTGTTCCTCTTCCTTTTTCAGTAAGGTATCAAAACCGGGCGTGTACATGTCTCCCAACCAAAACCGTAGGTCATTAGGATTTTCCTAAAAAAAAAAAAAAAAAATTACACAGGAGACTAGGATCAATCAGTGATCAGTCAGCGTTACAGACCACTTGATACTATAGAACAAGATACTCTCAGAGGTTTGAAGGCCAATAGTCCTATTGCCCTGGGTGAAGCTTAAGGGTCATGGTTGCAGTAAGAGAGGCTAGGCTTCCCTGAATAGCATCATTATTTCTCATCATCAGTGGCTAGCGGCCGGCTGGCCTGCTCACCCTCTCTGCCTCTCTAGCCTCAGGGGTCGATGACTTACCTCTAGGCTCGCGCTGCCAGGAGAGGAATGGCTCACGTCTAGGGAGGTGGGTGGATACTGGTGATGGCAATACCATTCTTCGACCACATTGCTACTAGTTTCAATGTCCTGCTCTTAAAAAAGCTAAAATATTAAAATAAAATTTGGATGAACTGTGCAGAAGGATAGATGATCTTGAAATCCTTGTCGAAATCCTCTCTTACATTCTGCTTGTAGTTTGCCCTGGTAACTAAATATGGGGTTTCGTTTCTCCTTTCTTACTGATAAAACTCTTAGTATTTTAGAAAAATGGGACTGACCAAAGGCACTTGGAATTTTATAGACTGTAAGAGGTGGAAAAATTTCAGAACATACGTTAGGGGCTCTTTCTGCTAGTTATGAGCTATGGATAAGGATGGCGATGAAGAAGTTGAATTCATGAGGTATAGAAAGAAATTCTAAGGAGAACAAACATCATGACTTCCAGAAACATCTCTTTAAAAACTTAGTGCTTGGGGCACCTGGGTGGCTCAGTCAGTTGAATGTCTGACTCTTGATTTCAGCTCAGGTCATGATGCCAAGGTCTTGGGATTGAGCCCTACATTGGGTCTGCACTGAGCATGGAGCCTTCTTGGGATTCTCTTTCTCTCTCTTCCTCTGCCCTTCACCCATGCCCCACCCCTCTCATATTAAAAAAAAAAAAGTGCTGAAAAATAGTATCATGAGGTCTGTAAAAGCTCTGAGGTAACTGTATATGTGGAGGATGGTTAGGGAGGGGACTGACTCTGGTTTTAGTGAAGCAATACATCTATCATATTTACATTTGATCCTCCTAAACATAACTCATGGAATTTTCCAACAAAAACATTATTCCTCATTGCCAATGATGTTCAATCTCCTCAGCCGTACATTCGAACTTTTCTGTTTAGTGGTTTTGAGAGCTATTCTATTACTTACACTACAGTGCCAGCAACACTGGACTATTTGCTGTTCTCACAAACTCTCTCACTTTCTTTTTTTGTGCCTTTTTTCTTGCTACTCCTGACAGAAGAGCTTCCCCACTCATGCAAACTCTCCGTATCTTTTGGAATTCTACTCATTCTTCAAGTCCAGCATAAATTGACTTTCTCATGAAGCCTTTTTATAATCCAGTGTGGTTTTGTCCTCGTTTGAATCTGCATAGCACTTTCTACTATTATTACAAACACTATCCTCTTCCTCTATCTTGTTTTATAATTATGGTTTGTTACTTTGATCAGTTAGATTAACGATTTGACAACAGGGACAGGAATACTCATCTTTATAGTCCCTTTGCCATTCATGTGAACAACATGGAGTGGAGAAGAAGCTCTAGCATACAGTCAAGAAACGCTTGCAAAATAAAACAATACATTTTTTCCTAATTGTAGAAAGTGACTTCTTAAGCAGCCCAGTTATCCATCGATAGATGAATGAATAAAGATATGGTGTGTATATATATATATATATGTATATATATATATACACATACATACACACACACACACACACACACACACACACACACGCAATGGGATGGTATTCAGCCATAGAAAAGAATATAACCTGCCATTTGCAAAAACATGGATGGATGGATGGAGCTAGACAGTATTATGCTAAGGGAAGTATGTCAGTCAGAGAAAGACAAATACCATATGATTCTACTCATGTGGTATTTAAGAAACAAAACAAACAAGGAAAGGAACAAGAGAGAGAAGAGAGAGAGAGAGAGAGAGAGAGAGAGACAGAGAGAGAGAGAGAGAGAGAAACCAAGAAACAGACTCTTAAGTATAGAGAACAAACTGATGGTCACCAGAGGGGAGAGGAGAGGGGGATTGGGTTGGGTGAGATAAGTGATGGGGATTAAGGAGTGCAATTTTCATCATGAGCACTGGGTGATGTATGGAACTGTTGAATCACTATATCGTACAACTGAAACCAATATAACACTGTATTTTAACTACACTGGAATTAAAATAAAAACTTAATAAAAAAAAGAAAAAGAAAAAAAGAAAGTGACTTCTTAGAGGTCCTGATCTTCAGACTCCTGATAAAAACAAAACAAAACAAAACAAAACAAGACAAAACAAAACACAAGATTACTGTTGCTAGGGGGGAGTGTCTGTTATGGAAACTTCCCTGGAAAAAAAGGCTAGATTAAGTAGATACATCAAATCTATTAGGAGATTAAAAAACCTCAAAGTCTCTGGACAAGAAGATATTTCAAGAGTGCACATAGGAGATTTTTAAGTGTAAGATTTTAAGGGGACACAATGCTATCCCCTTTTCAACAGAAAGAAATCTTCAGGTGCTTAAGTTATGGGGCTCAGAGCAGATACACCTTGTTACGTGAAGGGTATATGGAAAATGTCAGGCCTCCCTGACCCTAGGGCAAACCGAGGCTGAGGAGGAATCTAGTAAAAAATACAGGGCCACCTTCCCTGATGTTCAGGTATGTCTAGATCTTCTATACATGTGACAGAGGACACCACCAGTGGGGTTGGGGTGGGAGTGCGGGTGGGCGGTGGGGAAAGAAAAACTGAAGTTGGGTTTAGGCTGGGTGAATGAGTTCATTGCATACTTTTCCTGTGTTGAAATGTTTTTGTTTTGTTTTGTTACTGAGACACAGGAAAATGTCCAAAATGTAAATCTGCAATCTTAAATCATTGAGTGGGCTTGGAATAAGATGACCTTTGATGAGAACTGCCTTGCACAGTGCCTAAGACAGAGAATTTAATAAATATTTTTGAATAAATGCAGAATAGGGAATTCTTAAGTATTCATGAAATAAATGGTCATAAAACTAGGGGAAAACATACATAATCTGCAAATTAACTTTGAAAAACCTTTTACCTTCTAGGTCAACCTTTCTGTATCACATCATTTCCTCCTCTCTACACTATACAGATGCCAGAAATTGCTGACACTGTAAAACTCAGAACAAATCAATAAACATGTACTGACTAGGACAGAGAAAAGGATGCCAGATGCCACAATGATCTGACATCTGGACATTTGGGTCTAGTGAAGAGGGGTGGTCACCTAAACACCCATTAAAAAAATTTTTTTTAATGTTCATTTATTTTTGAGAGAGAGAGAGACTGACAGAGCATGAGTAGGGGAGGGACAGAGAGAAATGGAGACACAGATCTGAAGCAGGCTCCCGGCTCTGAGCTGTCAGCAGAGAGCCCGATGCGGGGCTCAAACTCATGAACTGTGAGATCATGACCTGAGCAGAAGTCGGATGCTTAACCGACTGAGCCACCCAGGCACCCTTATATCCTTTTTTAAAAAACGAAACTTCAACTGATCTTCTTCAGCAACTGAAGAAGGTGATTCTTTGCTTTGAGTACCTTCAGGTGTCCAGAAAGGTTTGTGTGCAGGGAATGCCTGTCATATTCTTCAACGGTCCATGAGGGGTTCTTTTTTCTTTCTTCCATAGCTTCCTCCAAACTTATGTCACCGTACAGTGGGTTATTCTTCAGAACAGAGGACAGGGATGGTGGGGGATGATCCGTAGCAACAGCACGCTGTGCACTGGGTCCTCTCATTCGCTGAGCAGTGATAGTCTTCTTCTCTCTCTGTTAGGAGGCACAGAGACAAGTCTCCTCTTACCAATGGGCCACTCATTGATGGCGGAGGATGAAACGTGAAATAACCGCCCCTGAAAATTTGCTGATTCTGCCTGGAACCCCAACAGATTAGGACAATGAACGAGGAAACGATTCTAGGATCTGGTCTGACCTAGAATCCTGTCCTTAACTGAGTTTTTTCTTTGCATGTGATCTTGCTCATCTTCAGTAATCATTCATTAAAATGCTATTTCATCACTATAGAGAAAGAACGCTGTCCTTTAATTCCAATCGCAGAATCTGAACAAAGCCAATTTCTTTTCCAGCTCACTTGCACTGAGATTTAATAACATTTTACTTCTTTCTATTTGTGCATTCCACGACCGATAAAAATAATATTTAGCAATGCTGGATTAATCCAGCAAAGTGAAGATTACAAACATTTTATAGATGTGCCTTGGCTTTTACAAAAACTCTCTTGGGACTCCTATTTCAGGCAGTTTGGAGGACAGAACAGCATCATATTCCTTTATATGTGTACAGACCAGGTGGCTATTAGATGGCTCTAATATTGACTTTCAGATTTTTAAAATCTTTTTTACTTGAAGCAAAATATACAATAGAAAATTGCATATATCATAAATGTATAGCTCGATAAATTTTCACAAACCAAATAAACCCAAGACGCTACCAAGAAACAGAGCACCTACCAGCACACCTCACTCTGCCTTGCCCTTCCCCTGCCCAAGGACAACCAGTGTCCCAAGTTTAACAGTGGAGGCCAGTTGTGTTTTTGTGTCTGATCTGGCCTTCAGGTTTGTATTTTGCTTTTTTTTTTCTTTCTTTCTTCTTATGGCTACAAAAGTATCATGGAGGTAGAAAATATTTCCATTAAAATTTGTTCATTGGTTAAATAAAGCTGAGAAGAAACAAAAGCTTATAGAGTAATGCCTCAGTTATCATGGGGCTTCAAGGGAGAGGAATTTCACATAAGTTAATTTTCAGAAAACTTAGGGTTAACCCTTAAAAGCTAGCGACACATTTCACTAATTTACAGCAATTTTTTAATGCATATGTTTCACATATTTCAGACTTCCTAAACAGGTTCAATAGCAATTGATATTCTTCTTAGTCATCTTTATTATCACCATTATACTGATTCCTCAGCATATATTGGGGTATATAGGTCACATTGAATATGTATTTATGTAAGCTAAATTGTAAACTAGTTTTACATACAGTTTCCTTCTGAAATGGCTGATAAGCCAAAAAAAAAAAAAAAAACCATCTAGGTAAAACCATTCACATTCTCTTCAGCCTTACATTTCCCTAATTTTCTTAACCCATAGATTTTTGACATGCTTAGCGGTCAACTTGGAGATCTTCTCTGAATTTATTATGTTGTTGGTCTGAAAATCAGTTTATATTCTACAATACTGAAATTTGCAATGAAATAATACATCATCTTGACTTAGCATTTGTCTTTAAGATGGATGACCTCATAAAACATGTTTCTGAATTTGATATGAAAACAATTTGATATGAAATTAGATCATTTCAGCTTCGCATAATTCTGACTCAAGGCTTTTTTGTTGTTTTCAAGGATAGATATCTTTGATCATCTTTGAGAGGGATAATTCTTTGGACACTGACAAATTTGCTTTGTCAGTTCTCTTGCCTACTAGACTATTCTTTGAGCTTCTTAAATAAGAAAGCTCTGTAAATGAGGAAAATACAGTTTGGGGGGCCAGGAAAAAATAACAGACTCTATTACAGTGTATAAAGACCCTGAAAAACTAACAGGCACAAGATAAAAATTAATCAGACCTATAGTGTAAAAAGAACATGCAAACCCTTAATTCTAAACCATATTCTTGGAAGTCTGGGGTTTATCTTAATACATGGTGCCATTTATTTTTCTGTTGCATGACAATTTCATGTCTGAAGGCATGTGAAGGGAAAACTAATAGAATATTTTTACTAAGATATATAATAGAATATTCTTTACTAAGAATATGATAGCAATATAAAAAATACTAATGATGGTTGAGGTTCATTCACATTTTGATAATTTTTCTCAAATAGCCTAAGGGAAAAAAAAAGCATGTATTTGATTCTAACCCTCGACCCCACTAGATTATATTTACCAAAGGAAAATTCAACAGTAATTCTATTATTTTAGCCATATGGACTCTACAATAATTTGTATTTTAAAATATTCAAGGAAAGTAACATTTCAAAGCTTACCTGGACTTTTCCGTATCACCATTACTTTGTCCATTTATCTTTTATACACTTAAATCATTATTTACAACATTTATATATAAGTAAACTATCAATCAGTAAAATTAATGAAATAGAGTGCACGTTGAGACAAACAAAAACTGAGAGTATACAATTAATAGACCAATAAAGAAAGAGCCTCTAAAAAAACTGTACTCCAGAAAGAAGAAACTTGATAATAAAAGGAAAAATTAAGAAGAAATGCCGAACAAAACAAAACAAAACAAAAAGGAATACGGAAAAAATATTGATAAGTCTATCTATATCTCTCTCTCTATATCTAAGTAAGTATTGATTTTATGGTAAAACAGAGATAATAATCACCAATTTGGGAATTTAAACCATTTTTAATTTATTTTAATTTTTTTTTTATTTTAGAAAGAGAGCAATAGCATGAGTGGGGGAAAGGGGTAGAGGGAGTGGAAGAGAGATGGAGAGAGGGGGAGAGAGAGAGAGGTTCCACACTCAGTGCAGAGCCCAGTGCAGGCCTTGATCCCAAAACTCTGGGATCATGATCTGAGCTGAAATCAAGAGCAGCATGCTCAACCAACCGACCCACCCAGGCACCCCTAATTTGTGAGTTTTTGAATAAGGGATAACTAAGTCACTTGACAGTAAAATTTAACACAAATATTTTTTATTAGAACATTCTAAGAAATCAGGTTAGTGAGAGGATAGAAATATTAGTAAAAAATAGAGAAAGAATCCATAGTTTCTAAATCAGTACAGCAACAGAAAAAAAGATAAAGGAAACTTGATAATAAGACAATAAAATTGAAACCAAGAATGAGGGAACTTCAGCAAAATAGAACAATTTCAGAAATAATCATGTTAAATGTAAATAGACTAAATTCTTTACTTAAAGACAGAGATTGTCAGGTCAGATTTTTAAAATTCAATGAAATTATGTAATCTTTATAAGAGGAGTACCTAAAATATAAGGACTCAAAAATGAGAGGGAAAGAATGTGAAAAGATATACTGGCAAATGAAGAAGAATGGGAGCTATGTCCTGTGGTGACTGGTTAAATGCCTATGAATTTTATCCTCTTCTCCCAAGCATAAAGGATGGATGACTGTCTTTCCCAGTCTGGCTTGAAGTTAAATTGGGGCCAGCTAAACCACCTCCAAGCCTGGCCCCTGAAATCTTCCACAAGATTTTTGGCTCATTTTCCATTTTTGTGTCACTGTTAAGTAAGGGTTCTGTGATGGCAGAACTACAGGATGAAGGAACTTGGGGCCATGGGTTATTGCTTAAAAAAGAGCTGCCTCGGGGCGCCTGGGTGGCTCAGTCGGTTGGGCGTCCGACTTCGGCTCGGGTCACGATCTCGCGGTCCGTGAGTTCGAGCCCCGCGTCGGGCTCTGTGCTGACAGCTCAGAGCCTGGAGCCTGTTTCAGATTCTGTGTCTCCCTCTCTCTGACGCTCCCCGTTCATGCTCTGTCTCTCTCTGTCTCAAAAATGAATAAACGTTAAAAAAAAAAAATTAAAAAAAAAAAAAAGAGCTGCCTCTAAAATCCACCTGCCCTTTTTTAGGCTTCTCGTGAGCATGAACATTCTTTTTAGTTACTGGTGTTTTGTGGGGTTACGTGTTAGCACAGCCTAGTCTATCCTCCCTAATAAAGTAGTAGATCTTGAAATTCCACAAACATGTGGCATGGACTTGCAGCCAAAAAGTGGAAAGGGATGAGAGAAACATCAGAAGCTGGAATGATGGTTATTCATGTCCTATAGGAAAAAATTTTTTTGCATAAATGTCATTTGTTGTAATTTGGAATCTAATCACCTGTAGCTCTAGGAGAGATACATGTGAAATAATCAGAGAATTCATGTACGTATAATGACATTACAATAATCATAGCATTAATGTGCTACAAGAAAGAGATGAGATTAGAGACAGCTGCACAGTTGGAAAGAAGAAAGATAGTAGAGAGGAATCTAGGCATCTAGAAATGTGATGCCTTCTATTGTTGAAAGTCTGTTTGTAGATCTCAATACTAAAACACAGAATTATTTTTTTTTAAAAAGCATTGAGCAAAAAATACCTATTGAAATTTCTCAACTGAATAAAATGACTCAAGATAAAGATCATGCTAGGCTGTGCTTTCACAACTGTTATCCCTGAGAGCCTCTATGCGGTTGTCACTGACTCTAAAAATACAGAAATGGAGGCAGAAAAGCAAGGCATTACAGCCTATTTGAGAGCTATGTCTGCAAAGAACGTAGGTGTGTTTACTGACATATAAAAGTGACTGCAAGTAGTCAGTTATGTTAGGTAAGATACATTAATAAATAGCTTCCTAAATTCTGTAAAGAATGTATTACCAAAGAAATCACAAGCCTACACCTAAAAGCTTTTAAATGTTTAAAATTAAAACAAAACAAAAGAAAACAATGACAATAATCCTAGATTTCTAAATGTCCTTGAGTAGGAGTAAACTTTGAAGTCTATCCTTGAAGCAGGGTCTACTTCTGATGTGGCAAAAGAGAAAAGTGAACAAGGAGATGTTTCCTAAAGAGTGTAATCAAGGACTATAGAGAACAATGCATCAGAAATCCTTCTAAAAAGCAGAATCATGTCCTAATCAATCTTCCATATCCTCAAAGAAGGAGGCCATGCAAACTACTCCCATGGGATCTCAGAATTACTTTGGAATAGTGACGGCTGTGTCTTTAATTTTTCCCATTCAGAAAGGGAGAGTTTATATATATATGTGTGTTATTTATAT